TCTCAGTATTTCACATCTCCTCTCCTTCCTGCACACCCCAGTTGCCTCTGTTACGGGATTTGCAACTTTCTGGCAGGCTACGAGCACATCCTTCCCGTTGTATCTTAGTATTTCACATCTCCTCTCCCTCCTGCACGCCCCAGTTGCCTCTGTTACGGGATTTGCAGCTTTCTGGCAGGCTACGAGCACATCCTTCCCGTAGAAGCCAGGAAAACCTGAGCTGGACCCGCGTCAAATGCACAGCAGCAGAATGGGGCGGTGTTTGGAAAGGGGGAATTTGGACCCGTGCTCTGTTCCTGTCGCTTGCTTTGGCTCAAAATTACATTTATTGGCAGCTAAGATGGTCCAGCATTGCTCATCTTGCAAATAGAGCATCAGTCGCTGTATCTACACTATATCCCAGTGCCAGGGCGGGCCTGAGGGTGAGCGCTGGTCTCTGGCTTTCAGGGCTGTTTGCTGCCTCATTGCTCATTGACCAGGCTTAGCACAGCAGAAGGGAAAGGAAGAGAAGAGGACATGGGAGGAGTTTCAGGTCTGACAGCAGAAGCTGCAGAGGTGCAGGGCGTTTTTGGTAAGAGATCTCCCTACTTGTGCACAGGTGGTAAGTGCCTGCGTGTCTCACATCACATCATGGGCAGAGCTCTAGAAGTCGCTGTCTGTGAGTAGTGATCAGATGGAGCTGTTTCTGGGCAGGTTTCAGGCTCATTTATTGGTCTTCATCAGAGTAATCACTGATACAGTTTGGGGATGTGGGCGAGGGAAACGGGGAGGGGCTTTGAACCATCCAGGGGTAGCAGAGGGGTCAGGGTTTGAGCCATCAGTGTGGAGCAGTGATGCTAAATCAGCACCAGAGCAGGGCCATCAGGAACAACCAAGTGACTCAGGTGGGCAAAGGAGGAACGAGGAGGGGGATGAGAGCGTTATTTCATTTTGGCATTTATCATTGCTGGGAGCAGGCTAAGAAGGAGCCTCTCCCGGGGCCAATCAGGGCTCCTTCATGCACAGGGCACAGCTCCCCACAGTTGCCTGTCTCCCATGAGGACCATCCCTTGGGGGACCATCCCATCAGGACCATCCCCTGCAGGACCCCAGGACACAGCTCTGCCCAGTCTGGTCTCCCCTTGCCCTGCAGGCTCCTGTCTGGAGGGGCAGGTTCAGCCCATGCAGAGCTCCTGGTTTCTCTCCTTAGGCAGCATTGAGTCCAAAAGTCAGGCTCTCGTGACTGCAGCCAAAAGCCAATTAGCAGCAGTTTAGCTTCATCAACTTCCTAATTGAATGCAAGTTTTAATTAAACATCCCATTTTAATTAGTCAGGCATCACGTACAGTAAGCTCTCCCCAAGATTCCAAGGCTGTAGGTCCTGTGTTAAATTAAAATAAGGAAGCACACGGCTTCACCCCCAGCATCCGTGACAGCTCCTTGTCCTTCCCAGGGTGCGAGCAGAAGAGCTGGGAGCAGCATCTTGCCTTGCCATGGGTTACTCCTCTTCTCCTTTACCTCCGTAGGGATGCTCCAGTGTAGGAAGTGGCTGCAGGATGAGTTGGTTGGAGGGAGAGAAGAAACAGGAGCTGGTTGCACCACTTGGGATGTCAGAGGAGGTACTGGGCCCTCAGTGTAATGCTGAGAGCATTTTGGGGATGAGTTTTGTGCCTCAGGGTGACAGGGAGCACCTGTCCCATCGGGTAAAGAGGTGCAGTCGGCTGAAATTGGAGGTGCAGATGGCATCAAATGGAAATGACCTTGAACACAAGTGTCCGTCCTTTACCTCCTCTGAATTTGTGGCCTTTCGCCCCCACACAAGAGCTTGCTGTCCTGTGGGTGCAGCAGCTCTCGAGTGCTCCAAGTGCTTTCTGTAGTGCTAGCGAATTTCAGGCTTTTCTGGGTTGGCAGATGGAGCTGTTACACAGCTCTGCAAGCCCAGCACCCAGCGCTCAGCAGGACCCGGTGCCTCCTGAAGTAGCAGCCCCAGCTCCCTCCTCACCTCGAGAACCATAAAATCAGAGTGCTTTGGGTGGGAAAGGACCTTAAAGCTCATCTGGTCCAACCCCTGCCATGGGCAGGGACACCTCCACCAGCCCAGGCTGCTCCAAGTGAACCTAGAGGTTCCATCGCTGGGTTATACGGGAGAACCAGACCACCTCCATCTGAGAGATGGTGCAGGGTTGAAAATGATGCTTTTCTTTGTTTTTTTGGAGCTGCTGAGTCCTACCGAGGCACCAACCTTCTGTCAACTGCACTCACCCGTGCTCTGGGATGAGGGGGAATGAAGGAGTGACAGAAATCCCTTTGTCAGCAGCCTGGGAAGGGGTTACTGAGCCATTAGCGAGCACAAAGAGGGAGCGGATCCTCGCTAAGTGCTCTGGGGACAGAGATTTAAATGCTTAACTCCCATTAATGCTGATGTGAATTACAGAGGTCTCTTCTTACAGCCTTGAAACAAGAGCATTGAAAAAAGAGGCCAGCTTTCCGCAGAGAACAGATTCACTTGAATTGAAGTCTTCACTCAATGGGATTTTTCTTCATTTCACACTCATTAATTCCCCTGCCTCCGCTGAGTGGGACTTTGCTCCAGTCCAGCCCGTGCGAGCTGCCTGCCTGGGGCTCCATCCACCGCCCCCTGCTCCGTGGGGGCATAGCAGTCCCCAGAACGGGGCTGCTCCCAGCCCTGAGAGACCCCAAAGGTTTTGTTTCCACATGGAAATGCAGAGTCCAACGCTCCAGGTTTTCTCAGGGAAGGGAAATCCCTCCGGTGTGTGCCATATTCTTAAGAGCATCGTTTCCTGCGGTCTGGTACACCCAAGGTACCTGTACAATTTACGCACCCCATCAGTCATTTCCTTTCTCTCTGCAGCCCCTGACTGATGAACACCATAGCAGAGACCAGAAGGACGCTGTATTTTGGAGGCATACAGTTATGAATCAGTTGTCGCTGTGCCTGCGGCCCTACCCTTAATGAACACATCCAGGCTTGCTCCCTTGTCTTACAGCATTAATTAACCTTGCTTAATGTGCTAACAGTGAGGGCTCGCTGCTCGTGGTCCTCGGGGG